CTGTCAGCCAGCGTGTCAACCAGTGCCTCGGCCAGTGCATCGCCCAGTCTGTCGCCAAGTGTCTCGGAATCCACCTCTGCTAGCGTGTCAGCCAGCGTGTCGACCAGTGCCTCGGCCAGTGCATCGCCCAGTCTGTCGCCAAGAGTCTCGGCCTCCACCTCTGCTAGCGTGTCAGCCAGTTTGTCGACCAGTGCCTCGGCCAGTGCATCGCCCAGTCTGTCGCCAGTCTGTGTCTCGGCCTCCACCTCTGCCAGTGCAGCGTGTCAGCCAGCGTGTCGACCAGTGCTCAGCCAGTCGGCCAGTGCATCGCCCAGTCTGTCGCCAAGGGTCTCGGAATCCACCTCTGCTAGCGTGTCAGCCAGCGTGTCGACTAGTGCCTCGGCCAGTGCATCGCCCAGTCTGTCGCTAAGTGTCTCGGAATCCACCTCTGCTAGCGTGTCAGCCAGCGTGTCGACCAGTGCCTCGGCCAGTGCATCGCCCAGTCTGTCGCCAAGCCAGTCTCGGCCTCCACCTCTGCTAGCGTGTCAGCCAGCGTGTCGACCAGTGCCTCGGCCAGTGCATCGCCCAGTTTGTCGCCAAGTCTCGGCCTCCACCTCTGCTAGCGTGTCAGCCAGCGTGTCGACCAGTGCCTCGGCCAGTGCATCGCCCAGTCTGTCGCCAAGGGTCTGCGGCCTCCACCTCTGCTAGCGTGTCAGCCAGCGTGTCGACTAGTGCCTCGGCCAGTGCATCGCTCAGTCTGTCGCTAAGTGTCTCGGAATCCACCTCTGCTAGCGTGTCAGCCAGCGTGTCGACCAGTGCCTCGGCCAGTGCATCGCCCAGTCTGTCGCCAAGGGTCTCGGCTTCCACCTCTGCTAGCGTGTCAGCCAGCGTGTCGACTAGTGCCTCGGCCAGTGCATCGCTCAGTCTGTCGCTAAGTGTCTCGGAATCCACCTCTGCTAGCGTGTCAGCCAGCGTGTCGACCAGTGCCTCGGCCAGTGCATCGCCCAGTCTGTCGCCAAGTGTCTCGGCCTCCACCTCTGCTAGCGTGTCAGCCAGCGTGTCGACCAGTGCCTCGGCCAGTGCATCGCCCAGTTTGTCGCCAAGTGTCTCGGCCTATACCTCTGCTAGCGTGTCAGCCAGCGTGTCGACCAGTGCCTCGGCCAGTGCATCGCCCAGTTTGTCGCCAAGTGTCTCGGCCTCCACCTCTGCTAGCGTGTCAGCCAGCGTGTCGACCAGTGCCTCGGCCAGTGCATCGCCCAGTCTGTCGCCAAGTGTCTCGGAATCCACCTCTGCTAGCGTGTCAGCCAGCGTGTCGACCAGTGCCTCGGCCAGTGCATCGCCCAGTCTGTCGCCAAGAGTCTCGGCCTCCACCTCTGCTAGCCTGTCAGCCACCGTGTCGACCAGTGCCTCGGTCTCCACCTCGGCCATTTTGTTGCCAAGTGTCTCGGCCTCCACCTCTGGTAGCCTGTCAGCTAGCGTGTCGACCAGTGCCTCGGCCCCCACATCGCCTAGTGTGTTGCCAAGTGTCTCGGCCTCCACCTCAACTAGCGAGTCAGCCAGCGTGTCGACCAGTGCCTCAGAGTCTACATGGCCCAGTGTGTCCCCAAGTTTCTCGGCCTCCACCTCTTCTAGCCTTTCTGCCAGCGTGTCTGCCAGTATTTCGACCAGTGTCTTGATCTCCTTATCATCCACTGTAGAGACCAGTGCCTCGGCGTCCATATCACGCAGTACTACCCCAAGTGTCTCTGCGAGTGTATCGACCAGTGTTTTCGCCTCTGTTTCGATTAGTGAGTTTTGTTATTTTTTGAAAAAAGTGTTTTGTTGTTTTTGCCTGTTTTTGACGTATTTTTTTGTTCATTTTCAGATATTAATGACTGTGCAAATGTCAGCTGTTCTAGCCAAGGAACATGTAGAGATTTACAAGGCGGTTTTCGGTGTGAATGTTTTCCCGATTACTATGGGGAACAGTGTGAGAACGGTGAGGGTGTTTTTATTCAATATATTGGAATCCGTATTTTTGAGCCGTTACGAGAAAAACTAATTGGCTCGAATTATCAGGATATGGAAAATACCTATTCGAGAAAGCAATATTCATTTTTAGTCTAAAATTTGTTTTTGTTGCTGGAATTTTGTTTTAAATAGGATATGGTGTCATTTAACTGTGCCAAAAGGTGTCCAGTGAGAGTGAGACAATCAACTTGACCATCTAAACATTTCATTTTCGGTATTCGTATCGTTCATTTAATGGAGTATGACACATTGTATTTCAAAGCGGAGTTCTAGGAAAGGAAGATATATCTCGGGCGGGCTGTTCAAAGAGGAGTTAAGATAACTTGGAGTTTGTACGAAATTTGATTTCAGTTTTGAAAGTTTAACCATCAGTTTTAATTCTCAATTTGATGATGCATGCTCTAAAAAGAATGAGCAAATTATACGTGGAATTGCTTTTGAATAGCAGAAGAATAAACCCAGATTAAAATTTAATCCTGGGTTAGTGTGAATATCAGCCTTTGAACAAATGGGTCCAGGTGGGTCGGGGAAGTAGAAGGGTCTCTAAACGGGTCTGCTAATACACATATACACATACAGCTATTTCGAGAAAGGTTGTCGGAAAAAGTGCACGCGACAATCCAGAAAGGTATTGTGGGTGGTTTTGAGTTCTTTGTTCTTCAAAGAAATTTGAAAGAATGGCACGAGAGGCCATGGACGTATGTTTGCGAATGCTAAAGGAGAGCAACAATAGAAGATTCAACAGCTACAGTGTCAGGAACAGCGTATTGATCATATCCCATATTACCTTTTGGCATTGTCGCGTGCACATTTTTTCCGACAACCTTTCTCGAAATAGCTACACATATGGCTCATACACACATACACATATCTGTGCGGGCCTATATGCCGAATTTTGTATTGTAGGAGGAATATCAGTTCTATTTGTGTAAAAAATCCTCAAGCACCTATCATTCTGTGATATTTTGATTATTAGTATGGAAGAATGAGACATGGTCTGTTGGCGGCTACTCCTTACAACACATATGAAATTTAGCACCGATCCGGTTTTAACCAATAGAGTGAAAGCAGTTATTTTTTCATTAAATTCGTAACCTTCACTCGTGACCAATTTAATTTTACAGAATTTCCTCAGTAGTTTTTGACTGTTCTGAGTTCACCGGCTCTCGAAGGCATTTTTCATATTATTATTATGGTCAAAATAGTGTAGCCATATTGGCTATTAACAACGATCAGCGAAACCAATGTGAAAGCTATAAATATAATTCGACTTATGAATTTAAATAATTATTGTATAAACACCAATTAAATACCATTTGAGCTTTCGCGCGAAAACATGATATCTTCATATGTGAAAATACATGTTATATTCTCACGTGAAATATCACCATTGCTATGGCTACATAAATAATCGCGCCTTTCACAGCAAGAAACTATTGAAGTGAAATGGTTTGGTAGTTCATTGGTGTTTATATAATAAATAGAACATTACATGGCCGCTTGGAGAGAGCTTCTCGTGTTGAAAAAATATTTTACTCGTTCGCTGCGCTCACTCGTGAAATATTTTTCAACACTCGAAGAGAAATTTTGGATCTCCGCGCGACCACGTAATATTTTCTATTTATACGTTTTATTCCTCTCAATTTATAGGAAAAATGATAACAGTTCATATCTTATTGTATTTCTTATTTCAGTAATTACTCAATGTCTTCCCGCAAATCCATGTGAGAACAATGGAACCTGTAGCCTTGTGGACAGTACTTTCTCATGCAGCTGCTCACCAGACTATGAAGGAATCATCTGCCAAACAAGTAAATATTTTAATATCTTATCTTCCACTTTCAGAATCTTACCTTAAATTACTGATATAGGAAATTTCGATTAAAGATAGTGAGTAGAGGGGCGTAGGTAAAAATTTTCCACAGTTTTCAAACTCAAACATAACCCGTCTCCAAAGTCCTTTTCACGAGGGTGACTAGTTTACATTTCCCCTCTTTTCAGGCAGTATGAACGGCTTGCGCGTGCGAAAAATAGAGAAAACACCGAATTTTGTGTGAAAAACTGAAATGAAAGAGGACAAAGGGAAGTTATATAGAATATTAAATTACGCCTTTCTCCAGCTATCCCTTATTTAGCTTCTTCTTTATTTTTTTTTGTACGCACGTGCTTACTGCACTGGTCGAACTGGTAGCTACGTCCTTGTAGTAGAGAACCTTTTTTGGACAAAAAAAGGCAAAGCTTTTGGGGTCTAAGGAGGGGCATTTATATTTGCTGTTATAGTTACGAGGGCTGTACGTTAAACAAGGAAATATAAAATGAAAAACTCGTGTGCAACAATTAAACCGGTGAACTATTCAACTCTCGTAAACGACAGATTTAGAAGAGGAAGGTCGAAAACCCAATTTTGCAAGATGGATGTAACAAATAAAAACCCATTAGTGTAAATATAAGCACAAATTTCCGTGTTTTGTGAGAAATAAGCACTATACCAATAATGAGACATTGCAATGGAAGTCAGGTTATTTAAAGAAAAAAAGCAAGAAAAGTAAATACGATCGTACTTTGGCTGTTTGATCCGATCCATTACTGTCAGTGCTGTAGAACTGAGAACAAGCGCGGATTCTGGTGATTTTGCACAGTGATCCCGACACTCCACTATTGTAACTGATTTATCCTGTAACTGATTTTGATTTAAACCTTTCATCTAAATTTCATGCAAAACTTATTTGACCAGTGCAGAAGCAACCGGAATTGTTACGTTTCGTTTGATCGTTTTGTCTTTTCATGGATGGTACACTGATTTTTCATACATAAAAAGAAAACACCCATTGGAATGGTTGGACGTTTTTTATAAGTCATTCTTTTCATCTATTGAAGGCGGGGGCGAGTAGAAAATGGACATTGACATATCAAAACATCTGATTATCGCATATAATAATAAGTAGTCCTGTTTTGTTTTGCATTTTCTTTTAGAGAAATCCGAGAAACCTCCGAGGATCATTGTCGTGATAATGACTGTCCGAAACAGGGACTTTATAGAAGATTACAGGAACCTTCAGTCACCAAAGACAAGAGCTCTGATTCAAGAATTAACTGCGGAATTAGTTCGTTTCTTTAAAGGACTATATGGCGACTCTTTTGAGGGAATAGTAATTATTAGTCTTTTTGAAGGAAGTGTTGGGGTTAACTTTGAATTATCACTTGAGCCATCATCGAACGTGGCCAATACCACTGTTGTAGAAGAACTCAAAAGGGGCAATGGAACTCAAGCCTTGGGTTTTCTAGAGTTGGGCGAAATATCCGCAGTAGAACAAATCCCGGAGCCGACTACACAAATGACGGTAATGACATCACCCGCTCCACCAGGTATATGTTTAGTATGAGTCCTTTGTGTAATATACTTACAGAAGGCTTGTGTGAGAGTCCTTACACAAGGCTTGTGTAAGATACTTACAGAAGGCTTGTGTAAGAGTCCTTACACAAGGCTTGTGTAAGATACTTACAGAAGACTTGTGTAAGAGTCCTTACACAAGGCTTGTGTAAGATACTTACAGAAGGCTTGTGTAAGAGTCCTTACACAAGGCTTGTGTAAGATACTTACAGAAGACTTGTGTAAGAGTCCTTACACAAGGCTTGTGTAAGATACTTACAGAAGGCTAGTGTAAGACTCCTTACACAAGGCTTGTGTAAGATACTTACAGAAGACTTGTGTAAGAGTCCTTACACAAGGCTTGTGTAAGATACTTGCAGAAGGCTTGTGTAAGAGTCCTTACACAAGGCTTATGTAAGATACTTACAGACGGCTTGTGTAAGAGTCCTTACACAAGGCTTGTGTAAGATACTTACAGAAGGCTTGTGTAAGACAACTTACACCAGGCTTCAGTGTAAGATACTTACAGAAGGCTTGTGTAAGAGTCCTTACACAAGGCTTGTGTAAGATACTTACAGAAGGCTTATGTAAGAGTCCTTACACAAGGCTTGTGTAAGATACTTACAGAAGGCTTGTGTAAGACTACTTACACCAGGCTTCAGTGTAAGATACTTACAGAAGGCTTGTGTAAGAGTCCTTACACAAGGCTTGTGTAAGATACTTAAAGAAGGCTTGTGTAAGACTACTTTAGGCTTGTGTAAGAGTCCTTACACAAGGCTTGTGAAAGATACTTACAGAAGGCTTGTGGCTTGTGTAAGACTCCTTACACAAGGCTTGTGTAAGATACTATAATTACAGAAGGCTTGTGAAAGAGTCCTTAAAGAGGGCTTGTGTAAGAGTCTTAACGGCCAAAAAGTGGGCGGCCCGCTTGGGAGTCACTCCTTCTACTTCTGTATTTGGAAAGGTGAAGATTTTGTGCGCATGTCTGTAGACGCCGCGATATCGGCCGAAGTTCGCTACTTTCGCGGGATCAAGAAGATAACTGGGAGTATATTCGCAGAAATTTAACGCCTTGTTCACGTACACACTTTGCAACATTGGAAGTGTTTCTGTTTTACTACTGTTTAGCGCTGCCAGAGTACAAGCAAGCACATGCAATGTGGCAAGTCGTTGCCGTAAATTTTCATTTGAGCTTTATCACTGTAGTTTTTATACGGTAAAGAAAAACTCTCTTTGTATATGTTCAAAGCCAGTTCTATCTGGTCTTTTCCAACAAGTTGGATTAAACTTGGTCCTTCACTTTGCCCACAACGAGAATATATTACCTCAACGTAGTATCTATGTCCTGAAAACAATTTAACGCCAGATACTTGCCAGTTACATTCGGTTGAAGGAAGCCCAGCAACCGCAGACCATCCAACTCCCTGGCTGATAAGGAGATGTAAACATTCTTTACCAAGCTTCTTTTATCCGCTGCCTTGGGAAACATTGGAAAGTTGGAAAGTTGTTCAAGACTTATCAGGCACACTGAAAACTAATAGCAACCGCCTGAAAGTTGTTATCTTTGCCTTTCTAGCAAAACGGACAATCTGTCTCATTTTGTTGTTGTGGCAACGGCAAGCAGTGTTAAAATAAATATGCGTATTTGTCTTGAGCATTGTTATAAACGATCAGGCTTTCACGCAGTATTCCCAGATGGCGATTGTGTAATTGTGTTGCTTTCGTTTTGTTTTATGATTTGTCTTCTGAATGTCATTTGCATAAGTTGAAGGCATTAATAATTTAAAAATACAAAATGTGATGCTTTTTCTTAACAGTGATGAATAAAGTTTAGTACGGAACTAGTAGCTTAATCTACTTTGGGCAACAATAAAACTGACTAAAAATCCAAGGGAATCTAAAAGGGAACATTAGCTACAGCAAAAATGCGTTCCCACTAAATATGGCTGGCCTAGCCCTGTAGCTACTAATTCTTGCTTAAAAAAGCCACAATTATTTTGAATACAAAATGCCAATGAAACGTTTAACATTTCTTGAACTTCATAAATACCTAGTCAGCTCTCTGTATTTAACGGAACGAAACTCAGTTGTCGTTGTTTCCACTTTGACGTTAATAGCGTAGCTTCACATTCAGCCCGCACATTGCTTACGAATACACCACACCTGGTAAAAAAAACAACAACGACAACAACTTACGCTCACAAATTTTCGCGCCTTTTTATCGAAAAAACCGTGACAAAATCCGCATTTAATACTCGAGAAACACGGCTTCAGAGTTTTCTATAAATTAATCATTCAAAAATTAGTAAAATTAAGGTAATTTCTACAACTTCCAGCATTCCATTAAGGTGTGTCGATATGCCTGTAGTTTTTCAGAGGCCATGCCGATATTTTTTTATCTCTATAAAAGTGATTTTACCCTGTCTCATCGCTATAAACTTTTCACCAGTGATTGACCATAGATTGAAATTTGTCCAAATGTAGTTTTCAATTGCAGTTTTAAGTAAAATCGATATTACTATGACAACAATAAACAAAAAGCTTTGTAATTGATAAACGCCTAATTTTGCGCGATTTAGACCAGCTACTGAAAATCCAATACTAGGAACTAAAAGTTTGGTGTTTAGCAAATAACCTCCGTAAGAAGTAAAATTTCTGTACGTTTGAATTCGACTAAAACAAAAATATATTTCGAACCTTAAATTTTCAATAGCCGCAATAGCTTAATTAACAAAGACGTTGTAAATGACTCAAATTATTCTTTTAAAGTAGGATCACAGTGCTGCTCAATATCACAAAACGATGGTAGGAAATTTTGGTGTATTTTCGTTTTTGCGATCTTAAAAACTCACCCTTTTACTCACCGCCTGTCCAAGTGCAACTTCATTCAAAACTTAGACTTTTGCGCCTTGTTGTTATCTTTGAAACGACTCGAACGAATTTCTTAAAATCTCTTCCCATAATCTTCATAATGTACATAATAACGTCTGAAACTTTCATTAAGATTGATTCACGGTAACACCTTGAAATTTCAAAACAAACCTATCTTACGAACGGGTCAAAAATTCGCGCTACAACTTTCACTGCTTTGACGTTATGCTAATTTTTCCAAATTAATGTGGACAATACATATATCCATGACTGGTACATTTCAGTGTGAGTATGGTCAATGTTTTACACTCAAACGATGCGATAAATTCAAACTAAAATGTACTAGTCATGGAGGTATGTACTGATTTTGATCAGGGCTCGAGTAACAAAAAAGGATCTCCGGAGCAAAGCTACCCCCACAACTCATTAGACTCCGTACAAACCGTAAAAAAGTAATTAATAATTATTTCAAGCTGCTCAACTTTATTTCAAAGCCAACGACGAGTGTAACTGCACAATGTATACTTTACTGAATGCGCACTTTGAGTCAGTACATAGTGACATCCAGTACACCGAAAAGTTGCATGGATTTCTTTCTCGTATCACTAAAAAAATCAGATGATATATCCGAACATGGGCCATGGTTTACTGCGCAGAAAGTGTGTAAAGGTCAATTGGAATGTCCTATTCAATGTGCTATATATATATGTCATCGTTCTTCTTATTCTGATTCAGAGCCAAGAATGTTACCACATTCCTGCTTTAGCGTGGTAATAATGGTAAATCCAAGGAAATGATCTACCCTTGATGGCGCCGTCGATTATGGGTCAGTTCTCTCCGCCCCATGTCGAGAAATTCCTTTGAAAATCCCCGGACGTTATCCCAGGTCTGTATGTACATTGCTATTGTTCCATAGCTATAGTGATACCAGACACCCTTAGGCAAAGCACTGCTTCCACCGCATTGTAGAAAAACGATCTGGGGAGCGTAAACCGTTTTTCCTTTCGCACAGTGCTGGGAAGTAAAGGACAACATGTCAGTCACCCTTGGAAAATTTCAGCCTTGAAATAAGTGGAATCCTGAGGCGGATCCAGGATTTTTCTTTTTCAAACTACCATTTTAACTCATTTTTTTAACTTTCTTCAACCTCGTCTCATGTTTTACTTTAACAAATAAACCACAAAGTTTTTATCTCTTTAGAATACCAGTTGCATTAGAAAGGTTATCCGCAGGTTAGATCTCCCCTAGAATATTCATGGGAAAAAAACATGCTATATAAGGAAAAACTGGACTCGTGGAGTCTTAGTTGACTCACATTGATTTATAAGAGGTACCTCTGGCTTACTATATCGCTCATTTATCACTCATTAATTAGTGATGGGGTTGGTAGGGGGGGCGGATGACGGGGGAGCTCTCTCTTACTAGAAAACTTACCAAACTTGTGAATCGTTTGGGATGCTTACCAACCCCGAACAACCCCAGTCTATGGGTAAAATAGGGAGCTAAAGCAACAACGACGGCGACGGCTAAGAAAAAGTCGGTTAAAATATGAGTTCGCGCTACTTCAAACTTTATCGCGCTTATTCCAACTCATTCAATTCGTCAAATGTTGGCAATTTTTTTTTTCTGGAGTTGAATTCTAAAACAACTGTAACAAAGTTCAGAAAAAGAAAAAGCAAGTCGTTGTCTTGTGTTCGTCCTCGACAAAACGTGAAATTGAAATGTACAAAAAGCGTGATGCACTAGCAAAGTTATTGTTTTGTCAATCTAAACCTATTGGTTGTTTGCCGTTCTCTTTGCCGTCGTCGTCGTCGTTGTTAAGCCCCTTAATATAACTGATCAGGGGCCCGTTTCTCGAAAAGGACCGGGAGCCTTTCGGTCCCGAACGCAAATTTTGAAATAAAAAACCTGTTGAATAGTAGAAAATTCCTCCCACAAACCAATCAATTTTGCTTCGTTAGCTGATAGTTTCATCGTATCATTTTCAAAATTATTGAAACTTTGATCTTGAAACAAGCGCGGCAAACATAAACAGCTTTCGCCCCCAGTTACCTGGTCTTTTCCAGAAACGGGTCCCAGGTCCAAGCACATATTCATTTCACTTCTTCTCACCTCGCATACGTCGTTAATAAACTGGCTTCCAATATCAAGGTGTAGATCTACTGTAACGACGATGGCGTTTGGGTCGTTAATGGATTCTACAGCTTCACTAAATGAGTGCGCGAATACTTTCCAGGCTTAATGATATAATGGTAATTCCTTAGGGTAGTTCTTTCAAAAGCCTGCTTTAAATTGATATCGGGGCTGTCAAAGTCGTATATAACCACGTGTAAATGCTCATCTTTCGTTTCCTGAAAAATCTTTTCAACGTTCTTTATAAAATGATGAATCCACCGACCCAGGTTCTTGGCCGTGAGAATCAGGTAGACATCTGCTGTTCTGTTCCACTGTAGCCCCTCAGGGTAACACAATGGAATATTCCTCCCATTCGGTTGAAAGACATATTCTGCTAAGATATATCTTTTTCCGTCGGTAAGATCTTTAACAACAAGTTCTAGAAAGTATCTCCCTCCTTTCCCAGGGTCTTCTTTCTTCTCAACGTGCTTTATAGACTCGAGTTCATATTTTCTGAAAAGCAAAAATGGCGTTTAGAAAGAAAAACACTGTGTGATCTTTAAGTTTTAAGGGGTAGTATCTGGCGAAAATCCTCCGGAGTTGTTTTTGCACTCTTTTCTCTGCTCTTCAATTTCAAAAAATTGATCAAAGAAAAAAGATAGCCGGAGAAAACAGTCAACATTTCGCGTCGCCACCAGTACTGAAATGCGCGAAATGACGCCTGAAAAATGAACGCAGAACTGAAATCCATACTGATGACGCATCACTACCCAGATCTGGGAAATGACGTCATCATGTCGTCATGTCGGCTGTTTTCTCAGGCTAATCAAAGAACAAACGATAGCTGGTATCATGGCGTTGGAGGGAAGTGTGCCGCGGTCTGGGGAGCATAGCCTTCGAGCTACCAGAATGGGCCCTGGACCATAAAAGAAACCCATCAATAGATTCATTCTCCGAGTCAGAGTCTAGATTGAATAGACCGATTTTGGTTCAAATTAAAAGTCCGACTTGGTTTCGAGGCCTGGGCGAATAAAAAAGCGAAATCACATTAAGGTTCAGAGATTGTTGTCACTTACCCTTTATAGGCCTTCCTAAGGGCCGTCATATACCGTTTGACTATGGACCAAACCTCATTTTTATCTAATGGATACTCAGCTATAAACTCCTGTTCACGCCCAGGATCCCTGGTGATTCCCTCAACATTGGGGAACTGATAACTGTAGGTCTTCCGGGTATACTTATAGACTCCGTAATACTGACCAAACGACAATAATTCCGCGCGGTTAACAAGATAACTAGGCCTATAATTGCAATAATTCAAAGTCCTCTGCACGTTTTGATGCTTTAAATAGGGAAAACTCTCAGATTTCATGTACTTGTTTCTGTAGTTACTGTGCTTCTTCGCCCTGCATGGGAGAGCCCCCGGCATTTCATCGTCGTACAAATGAAGCTGCCATTTCTCGCTGTCATTCTTATACAAGGATAAAAAATTGCTTTCAATAATCTCAAAAATGGATTGTCGCGGTCTTTTCCAAGCAACTTGAATAAAGTTGTTGTCAATATTATTCGGTGAACCGGGTGCGTAGACGATTTCTAAATAATATCTCCTCTTTGCTTTCAAACGAATACCTTTGGAGATCTGCTTCTTTGATGCATTGAAATCCAACCGCCCAAGTGTTAACTGTAAGTCAAATGGCCTCAAGAACAGTATTTCTTTTGCTTCCTTCCAATTTTTGCTTGAGCTAAGCCAAATTTCCGCGTAACCATTTGTAGACACAGCGAAATAATATTCACCGGTTAAATTTGGAAGGAGGTAACCAAATAATCGCTGACCATCGTGGGCGGCTCTATAAGATTCGGTCAGAATTTCAGTGCTTAGTATAACATTTCTCTTGTCTGGCGCATTCGGAAAAACTGGAAAATTACAGAGTGTTTCTATGTTGCTCAAGCAGTTGCTTTCCCATATATGCTGGTTTAAGCCTGGAATCACAAGGAAATCTTCCTCGTGTTCCGAGGGATATTCTGACGATATTGATGGTGAATATGTGTTTAACAGCTTTGACGATTCCGTTGTTATTCTCGGAAACCTCATACATAGTCGCCGACCAAACAGACAAAAGTGAGCAGAGAACACGAGAAGAGAGATGAAGATTGTAAACATGAACAAGCTCCACTTAATTCTTTGAAGATTCATAACAATAAATAACGGACGTATTTGCCTGTCTTGCAAAAACCCAAGTCAGCTTATAATTAAAACGTGGCCGTGAAAATGAATTGATCACCAGTGACGCTAGGATGAAGGCACTGAGAATTTCTTAACACAGTGTTTCATTTTGACCAGTGGCCTTGCCCCTAAAATACCGGAATTTTAACCTTCTACCATGCAGGTATCGGTCAGCTCTCACCCCGGACAACCCGCGTAAGATAAAACGATCCTTCTCCAACGATATTCTTGGTCATCAATTAGATGGCCAGGTTGCATCAAACTCGCTGTAACAGAAACCTATAATTATTTATCAATCGATGCTTATCAACCCGCACCGAGTAACTATGGTTGTATCAGCTGTTTTCTTGCCGAATAAACGCTGAAGACTTCACATTTGACAACACCGCAAGTTCAAGTAATAGTGAAGTATTACTACTTTCATCCGTCTATTTCCAGTCAAAATTTCTTAATTTCATATTGTAAAATTCTAGAAATGAAAGTTTACAGAGGGGCTCTATTCCCGGGGGGGTACTCGATATATCCCTGGGTGGGGAGGTGCGCCACGGCCCCTCATATCCTGACCCTGTTTAAGACAAATATCGCTGATTTTCCTACCCTGTTTAAGACAGAATTCCGATTTTTGATACCCTGTTTAAGACATTTATCCTGTTTAAGACAAAAATTGATAAATCGATACCCTGATTAAGACAAAAAATGATGAATTCGATACCCTGTTTAAGACAAAAATCCCGAAAAACATACCCTGGCTGGCCGCACGTCCCTATTAAGCCCTATAAAGGAGTACCCCCCCCGGGGGGGGGGGGGCTCTATTTAAGATATTGAATGCAAAAAAAATTAATGAAAAATAAATCAAGGGAAAGAATTCTGACTAGCTTCACTTATTTGTATAGCTAGAAGGCCGGAAAATAAATACTTATGACCCCGTAATAAAGCATACATTTGGCAATTCTTTCACGAGCGGTCTCTCGTTGGATATGAAATGGCTTGTGAATTAAAGGCAGGTAGACAACGGGGCTCCTCAGTAACGCTCAGGTGGCTGTTTCTTGGTGCTAATGCGGGAAACATTGTTGGTTCGCTTTGTGTTTGGTGTGATTGCATTCTTCCGAAACACCAAGAAACGCTAAGGGGACTGTATTCATCTTATACCCAACAAGGGCGCCAGCGAACAAGCAAGACATATTGATATTTATCAGTTACTGATTCATTTTGTACGAACGACTGGAAGACGATTTCAACTATGAGTTTTCCTCGACCTACATAAAAAACACTACTGCGTTGATAGAACTGTCACACGGCTCGTCATTTTAATCGAATTTTATATCAAGCAATGTTCTTGCTCTTTTGTATTACTAACTGGGAAGAAATACGTTGCCATAACAACGAAGATAGACTTGAAATATTTTCCTCAGTTATGGGTATAAAGACGAATGTTAATTTTGTTAAAATTTAAAGAACCACAACGAAAAAATTTGATTTTTTTTAATAAGTGACGATGCATTCAGCACAAGTACACAAATCGAGAACGTTGCTTTTTTACGTCCAACATTGAAGACGATGTCGTTATTTCTACATTCAGGAACTAGAGCCATGGCAACCATGGCAACAGCACCGTCAAAACAGCCGTAATAGTTTTAACGAGTAAAACAACAACTCTGCACGTGCATCACGCTTTTTTGTAGCCTGGGATCAGGCTCCGCATTGGGGAAAAAGAAAAAAAAGATCGGCGTGGGCAAAAAAAAAATAATAATAATATATCGTCGAGCGAAGTGAGCCGAGAGGTATTTTTTCTATTTTTGTTTTCAATTGGTCTTTTCCTCCCAACTGCTGAGCCTGATCCCAGGCTAGCTTTTTTGGAAATGTCTTTTTCGTCCCTGCAGAACTACGTACGACGTGAAATGGCCAAATTCTAAGTTTACTTGAGAAGAACTGCAAGGGGATAAATTCTACCATCCTTGCCCGAACTCGGACGGGTTTGCTTCACTTCAACTCCAACATAAAATCCCTTTTTTTAAGTATCTGGGCAACTTAACATAATCGCGAAAACGTTTGAAAGGATGTGAAGTCTGTTTTTTAACAACCTTTTCAAGGACGTCACCGATGTCGGATCGTTAGGTCCGTATTGGCCAATGTTTTTTTTCCTTCATCCCTATTAACAGTCCCAGAAGTCTTTGCAAACGTTAACTCGTTCCAGTTCCCTTCAGTCCTGTTTCAAGAGTTCTAAGTGCTGATAGAGCAAAGTCAGTCCCACTTTCTTTTCAGGTTATTTTTAGGGACGCTGTTTTCTTAAGTAGCTGCGTGACAGGAGAAGGAAAAATTTTTAAATGGAAGGAAATAAGAAAAGAAAAGGGTAAGGGGCTACACATGGAATCTTGAAGCAGGAGATTGCTCCGGCCATGAAACCTCTATCCCAACGCCTCACAACGCTATAAAGCAACCCTGAACAGGTCCATTCTGTTAAAACTTCATTGATCTTTCTTAGGGCCTGTTTACATGGAGGTAAGGGACCCCAGGTAGGTGAGGTAACATGTGGCGGATCACCCCGCCTAACATGTAAACGTGATCACATTAAAATGAGAGATTATATGGACAGGCGGGTTACCCCACCTAAGCGGGTTCCCTCACCTACCTGGGGTCCCCCACCTCCGTGTAAACAGGCCCTTAAACTACCTTGTCATCGTCACAGAACTACTCAACTTTTACAAAGCACTCAACGATCTGGCGCCTTCAAACACACCTAATATGTAGGCTCAATGAATACAAATAAAGACAAATAAAGACTTCGCCGGCGCTGCTCCGGCTAATCACCGCAAAACTCCAGGGTCAAGATCCTCCTTCAAGGGGCGGTTTGATATTATTTTCTTCACTATGCCATAACGAATTACATTTTCTATCTTGTTTGTGATTTTTATTGTCTTTGTAAGGCACATTTGGGCTATTAAGATAGTGGTGCTTTCTAAATACGTTGCTCATATATTAATATAATATAATACTGATTAATATCACTTACCCAGAAGATCTTTGTCGAAGGGCGTCCATGTATTTGTACACTATCATCCAAGCCTCGTTCACTTCTAAAGGATATTCAGCGTAAAAAGACACCTTGGGTATTTTCTCTCTTATAATACCATCAACAATCGGAAAAGGAAAACTGTACATTCTGCGGACATGCTCTTGCACTCCATCGAACCGTCGAAAGTCCAGCACGTTGGCACGATCGATAGCATAGCTGGGCTTGTACTCACAATAGTCCAATATACCCTTAACTTCTGAGTGCTCAAGATAGTGAAGCGTTTCTGCCCTCATATATTTATTTGCATGGCCTTTTTCATTTTTTGTCTCACAAGCAACAGCACCTGGCAGTTCATCGTCGAATATTTTGTATATTCCTTTTTCCTCGTCTTCCGTGTATAAAGATAAAGATCTCCCATCAATTGTTTCGAAGTCAGACTCTTGTGAGCGTTTCCAAGCAACACGAACAAAATTATCGAGATTCCTCTCAGCGTTATTAGTATGCAATATCTCTATATAGTATCGTCTTCTGGCTTTTAGATGAATTGCTGCTGACATTTGTGTTATGGAGACATTAAACTGCCATGTTGTTGCTGCAGAGTACGCATCAAAAGGAGTGATGTGGGCAATTTTTCTCGCTACTCTCCATCTGCTGTTTAAACTCAACCAAACTTCAGCAAATCCGTTCGATGCCACGGCGAAATGATATTCGCTAGTTGCATTTGGAATCACGAAACCAAATAGGCGATGGCCATCAAATCCAGAATGCTCTGTTGCACCAGCAAACTCTGTCCGAAATGTCACTTTCCTCTCATCTGGCGCCATCGGAAAAACTGGAAAGTTGCAAAGTTTTTCAATCGTCTCCATACAAGTGTTTATCCATACATGATGATTTAGTCCCCTTGGCAAGTCCAGAACGTATTGTTCAGAATCTGTGACCGATGCCTCTTGAAATGAAAGTCGCTTCAGGGAAAAAATTATGGACACCTCGAGTCTTTTCAGATTTGAAATGCATTTCAGCTGACTGAATAAACAAACGTCCATTACAATAACACTTAACCAAACAAAAATTGATCCCAAAATAATCATAAGCTTTAGCGTTCTTATCTTCATGACTATAGACTGCAAAACAGTCCGTATTTTAGCGTATTCAAGTACGCGCGCAGAAGTCAAATAAAAGGTCTGGAACGAGGCTGAAAACAGAGAGCGAGACTGTTTTTTTCCCTCTTGCCTCACACGCCCTACGGGCGTGTGATGCTCGCTCGCTTTGCGCGCTTAAGACTCTTGCGTCAAGCTTTACCGATTTATTTACTGATTTTGAGAAAAAAACCGACTGTTTTGCAGTCTACATGACTATAAGCATGGTTACTAAACAATCGTAATCAATATCACGACGTTTATGTTCATCATGTAAAACATAAGTATAACCAAGAGCAACCTCTTTTGGTATTCAGTTATAAATTTATTATTTTTGTTTTATTCTTTAAATGTCCCACTTGACAAGCTCTAGCTACGTGACGATTTTACTTGACCCGTAAAACAGTTAATAACAACTACAGTCTAACGTCCGTGTGCGACCACCTCTCGTAAGCGACCACCTATCCAAAACACCAAAACTTCCCCAGTCGAAGCCCTATACTTGGAACCTCTAGTAAGCGACCACCCATCCAAAACACCAAAACTTCCCCAGTTTAAGTCTTACAGTTGAAACCTGTCGTAAACGACCACCTCCTGTAATTAAGCGACCGCGACCACTATTTGGGGCTGACGGTTTAATGCTTTTCTATTCGACGACTTGACGAGTTTTCTGATCTCTTATGGTCTCTGTCTGGAAGAAACCCCCTGTAGTTTGATTCTCGTAAGCGACCACCTCCCGTAAGCGACCACTAAGGCCAAGTTCAGACGCCGTTCCACTCATGTGCCGAACCTAACTGATAAATTAAATACGGCAAAAGAAC